CTCAACCAACATCACATGCCAAAGAAACATTCCTTATCACTCTTCTGCTCACCTCCTTTGCTCACTTGGAAACAAACGTTGCAACTCTGTCACCTCATATAACATCACAGCCCAAAGGAACATGAATAACAGGTTGCAAAAGCGCGTTGAATTATTTTTCGAGATGCTGAAGCCATGCATGTGAGTTCATTATTAACTTAGAGATTACATAGTAGTCAAATATTGCGAAGCAATCTTCTGCTCATCAATTGTACAAACCGTGTTGCAATGCTTTATCGCTTGTGGTATGATTTCATGTAACGCGTCGAAAGAATAACTATGATCATTATCATGTTCGCCTATTCTACTCGAGAAACCAAGATTTGAAAAATATCAAATCAATGAATCATCACATGTTAAGTCAATTAACTGAAAGAATATTTTCACTTATTTTACTCGTTTCGGATGAAAGTATGTGTTTATCGAAGCTGATCATTAGTCACACGACAAAAGAATAATAATAACGTTTCGTAAAATGGCTCGGTTCAGTTATTTTAAATTTCTTTGAGCTATTAATACAAATGTAATCAATTTATTGAATATTTGACAGTCAATGAATAAAAAGAAAGCGTGTTGCGTTCAGAATAACAATTCGTCAGAAGCTTAGCTTTCAGATTTCTCAGATGATAGAAATTTATGATATAAATGAATGAACGTATTATAATTGTCTTATTTATCTATGTTTTCATTTCACTTACAAAGATGAGGCAAATTTTACTATTCGATAAACACGTGTCACAGTAGAACAATTCAATCAAGGTTTCATTTGCATATTTTTTCGATATTCTAATTAAAGAAGATGAAATGCTAAGGTTATCGAAGATCACGTTCCAAATAAATTATTTCCACCAATATTGTGTTCATCTAACGTTCTCATTTCCAAAATGAAGATTACCATCTCATAATATGAATTGAAGATGTATAACTGATGAATAATCATGACCGGTATTTTATTTATCTACGTCAGAAATTTCATACAGAAGCATGTGGTTTATGTAACTGATCACACATCTTATAGTAATTGAATCATTATTTACCAAAGATGCTATTCATTTATTTTCACTTATGTTTAAAATAAAAGTTGCAAAGCAATAACTTGATCAATAATCACAAGATTAACGAATGAAGTTTACGAGAAATTTATACACTTATTTCGTAAACTATAAAATCAAACATTTGCATTATTTTGTCAAAAGAGATGTTGTGATACATCAATAACTATTTTGTAATCATCCTGTTTCCAATACTTTTATTCAGTGATGTGGTGTACATCGAAATAAAGGCTTAGAACATATCCACATTTGGAGGATGATGCAATAAATGACTGATCGTAATTTTTGTGATGATCATATTCATTTATTCAACTCACCTTGCACCTGATATGGCAAATTGTCGAGTTCTTCAATGATTACATTAAAATAAAATGGCTCTTATTGCAGACATACTTTTCAGTTATTTTATTAATATCGATACATCATTTTTGAGTTATAAGGGTGATGAACAATCGCATGAAAAAAGAATCATTCATACCCAATAGTGTTACTCATTAATTTTAGTCGCTTGCGAACGCCATTTTGCTTGCTATTTAAGAATAAAGATCACATATTAAATGTATGACCATTTTCCATTGGTCTTGAAGATTTTGTTCACCTATTTTACACACATGAAACCAGCGATTTATAAACGGTAAACTATTTGTGAGTCATTAATTAATCGAATAGTCATCATTACCAGTAGATTCTGTTGATTTATTTTGTCTACAGTAATATACATATTTCAATCGAGTAGCTCGCTGATATCCTCACATAACATATGAATCATTAGGAAAATGCCAATAACCATATTCATGTATGTCAATTATTTTAAAGTAAAACTACTGAACTTCTAAGCATAAAGAAGATAGCATATCAAGTGAATCAGCTGAATCAGGATTCTGTTCGCTTATTTTTCTTTGATTCCAAAACAAAGGTGTGAACATTATCTATTAATTCAAGATCGTATGAAAAATGAATAATCATAACGACACTTGTGACACTTGGCACAAAATTTCTATTCCAAAATTTTGTTTCTTATGAAGAAAATCGTTGGAATTGGTTTAACAATTGAAAATTGTTAAGCAGCAGAATAATCCATAGGACGACCTTTAGCATTCGGTTCAATTATATTTTTCCCGTGCGACTGCAAGTTTGTTACGATTAACTATGAACAACTCATAGAATATATGGTTACTCATGACAAATTTTGTATTCGTCTACTCTGTTCCGTTGAGAATAAAAGTTTCAAAGTGCTTTAGTGAGGCAGTGACGATTGGAGAAATAAACAATTTCAAGAAAGTTCCACGCCAGGTGCGAATTCTTGAAGTTCTAAATGAAAATATTAGGCAATTATAAAATCATGGAAGGCGCAGACAATGGTTTTACAACAGGTCTGTTCAGAGAACGGTAGTAAGCTCAAAATTACCTCAGTATATGATCATAGGACTAGTCGATGGAAAAATTATTCTCGTTTACAAAGAAATACTTTTAGGAAAGTGTTGAAGAATGCAGATAATTGGAGTCATACAAAAGTTGATAATAACGAACTTTCCACATTTACTCAACTTAACATGACATAGATTTGAGAATTTTGCGAATTTAGAGTCTTTGAGACATTCCAATTTTCTAAAATTGATCAAAATGTTCCTACTGTGTACCAATGGAAACTTGTGGGAAAACTACGTTCAAGAATTTTCAGTACTGGGAAATTTAAGATATTTAGAAACTTGAGAATCATCAACATTTTTGTATTATAAGAATTTTAAAATTGTAAGAAATATTAGAATAGTAGTTTTATTTTGGATGTAGAGGAAAGCGCAACAACGACATTGTCTTGTGTTTATTTGAATAATGTGTGCAGTTAGTAGACGGAGGGTTCACGAACTTCGCGTCAATACGCTTTAATGTATGAAAAACATATTTTTAGTTTACACCTGATATGCGCTGCTGCTATGGGGAAGAAGTCGTACTTTTGACAGAGGAGGTGAAAAGAATAGCTAATGAGGGTTTGGATGAATTTTAAGAAAAGATACACCCACGCTCAGTCACACGCATTCCAGGAATTCGCTACATTCTTGTTAATCGCAGGACTTCAAGAGTACAAAATCCAGGTATGTTAATATCTTTTATGCGAATAGAAACGAGTGAAGTCCAGCGAAATAAGAGACGTACACTGTAGACTGTCGGCTACTTGTATTTGTAAACTGATTCTTAGACAAGCTAGTAGAAGCAATCTACGACTCAAATCACTTGAAAAAATTTCGAGATATCCTCGATAAGTATGACCTGTTTTTTCTAGAACAAATCATGTAGTGCTCAATAGACAAAACGGAACTATAGTCCATCCATAAAGTCCGTGGATGAGACTGTTTTCCAAATAACTCTTGATAGAAACAAGATAGACATCTACATTTTTTAGTGTTTGATAGCCAAACTCTAAGGGCATACTTTCACCACCAAAATCGTTTCTAAAAAAATATTTCCAAATAGGCTTTTTATAAGATCTTTGGAAAAACACGCTAGATTTCCCAAAACTTGCATAGAGGTCTATTGGTTTTTTACATATTTGGAATCTCCGTCAAAAGTAAGTTAACTCATATATGTTTCCAATCTTTTCACTGTTTTTTTTTCTATAGAAAACATGTCCCCTAGGAACATCTCAAAAAGTGAGGTCAGCGAAAAAATCACTTGGACAGCCTAAAACATTTTCATAGGTTGTAAAATGCTACTAAAACACAAAATGCCAATTGACTAAACAGTAGAAACGGCGTTTCAGCTGATCTTACTTTTTAATGAAGATACCAAATATGCGAAAAAATCAATAGACATCTATAGAATTCTCCAAAAATCTAGCATATTTTTCCAAAGATTTTATGAAAAATCGATTTGGAAGTATGTTTTCCGAAAAGGTTTGCTGATGAAAATATGCTACTAAGTGTTGGCTGCCAAACGCCAAAAATTGCAGGTCTCTACCTTGTTGCTATCAAGAGTTATTCGGAAAACAGTGATGCCTATGGAGTTTTTTGGGTGGACTTGTTATGATCTACCCTTCGGTTAGGCCATACACCTGTCCCATCTACAGTATCACTTCTTCTCTACCTACATCTCTCCGTAGTATCGTTCGTGGTGTTCATGCTATGTATGTGTTCATGTTAACTCTCTCTCTCTCGCCTATATATAGGATAGATTTATGTAGTCTATCTATCAGGTATTTAATGTGGTGATTACACACAGTGATCGGAGGATAGAGGACCTTCACAGGGTTTTACACAAAATTGTGTAAGTGTAATGAATTAGCCTTGGCCTCAATAAAATTTCTGTTCCTCTCAAGAAGAAAAATAAAAAACTTCGCCGATTTCAGGGAAGTACTGTAACTATTCATGAATCTTCACAAAGTTTTTAATAGCACTATTTATGCAATTACTATCCGGCTTTTGCATCTGATATTGATAAAACACACAGCGTTATTCATGTATGTTTTTCAACGAAAATGTGTGTGACACTTACTGGGAAAAGTTTTGGTGGCTGGTTTTGGTTGCACATAACTTGCAGCTGCAGCTGAGACCGACGACGATGACGATATCGATGACGCTGCGCCTGTTGTAGCTGGTACTTCTGCCTGGTTATTATTGTCGATTTCCACTAAATGGATAAGGTGTAGTTTGCCATGTTTCATTGCATTGCTCTTTATACGTAACTTCGTTCCCATTTTCAATAAAACTTCTTCTTCATTGGGAAAATTAGTGTATCCAGTCAAATCTTTTCCATTTGTAGCTTCGATCATGAACAGTGTGGAGTCGTCATCGGAGTCTAAAAAGTCTTCGACGACTTTAACTACTGATGAACAAGAACTAACACTCCACCAGGTCTTTACAGTGCCCATAACGTAATCTTGACTAACATTCTGACGTACTCCACGCCAAATGCACCCTTTTATTGTCGGCAGTTTTTCCAGGGCTGTGTCGAACAATTTCAGATAGGAGAACCATGGCGCTAATTTTTTTCGCTCTTCATCTCGCAGTGCTCGGTTCAAGACAGCATAAAAACTGTATTCACCTGCTTCAAGTGTGTATAAAAATAGAGCAGCCGATTCATCCTTACTAAGGCCATGTTCTGATGGGAAATGACAATAATCATAAGCTTCTTTAATATCCCGATCCAATCCATTAATTTTTGACGAGACAGGGGCTAATGCGTCTTTCAAGGACACTAGTGGATACTTCCAGTAGCCACCAATTGGTCCAGATTGTTTTTCAGAATAACAATCAGTAAATCTACTAGTCATATGTGTCTCGGTATTATATTCTACAAGACAAAACAGAAGTGACAAAATTTTCAAAAATTTAAAGAATATGTTCAGGAGCAACTTTGTCAGTCAGAGTGTATATCATCTAAAACCACAGCCGCATTTTTTTAACGGGTTTTATGTAAAAGTTTTGAAGTATTAACGAGTTAACAAAAAACAGATGTTAACGCTCGATAACACTTAAGATTTCGTTGAAAACGTACTGGTAACCTCTTTTCAATGTGTCAGTATGATCAGGAGTTTAGATGTGGAGTACGAATGTGAGTGTATAAGTAGGTTAGGGGTAGTGGCGAACGCCATCCCCTAATAATTCTTTTCTTCATTTTTTCTCAGCACAAATCGTCAAAAACGATGTTTTACTACTTTGTCTATGCGTCAAAAACCAAATTTTCGCGATGATTACTGCTCCTTCCAATAAGCCGCCGTATCATCACTCATTTTCTAGGTTTGCCACTAGTTAGGGATTTAGATGTGGAGTATGGATGTGGTTGAGGACGTACATGTGCATGCGGATATGCAAAAGGTGAACACCCACCTATCCTCAGACGCCAAATTCGAGGGATTTAAGGCGAGTTTTAATATTATTGTATTAAAGAGTGTAAATGTCAATAAAGATGTGACTTCAGATCTAAAAAATCTTCGCTATTTTTCTCTTTCGACATCCATTTACTGAGCAGAGTCTAGGTCTTCCTAACCTCATTCAACGTACAAGCTCGTGCCTGCAAAAAATCCACCATCGGTACATACGTATATGTCTGCTATAGTAACAGAGTGACGTGGATATCTTTTTAGTATTTACCATTGTCCTCCAATGGTTTGACTGAGCGTCTGTCACTACGATTCAAAAGCACAGCTTATCGAGGATTTATGAAAAAGCATTGTAGTTGGAAAAAAGTCGATATATTATTTTGCTTCAAACGCGAAATTCTTTCTTACCTTTCAGTAGCAAACAAAATATGTAACTGAAGTTGTTCGTTGTCCTTTTACTCGTTCTTCAGAAAGATAAGCAACAAGCGTTTGGCTTCTAACTCGGCCCCTCTTCAGAAGCTTTTATCTGCACATTACTTTACAGTTTTAGACTGATAAGAAAAAGCCAAGAATTTTCGCTGACGCAAAGAGCTTTAGCTATTACAATTCTCGGAATAAAACTGCATTATTGTGTTGCTTAAGATACCAAAGTTAATGTAAGAAAATCTATTGGGTGGGTCACGCTGGGTGTGAGTGTGGGTGAAGGTTGAAGTGAGTGCGGATGTTAGCGTGGGTGTAGGTGTGGGTGAAGGTTGAGGTGAGTGTAGGTGTGAATACTCTATTTCATTCACTCACACCTCACACCCACACCAATGTCATTCAACTATTATTATGATCAATGACAAAAATAGCTTTTATATTTCATCATCTGCAGGAAAATGTCTCTCAAAAACTCGCGGAGTCTATTGCTAAACATGATATTAGTTTTGCTCGTTGTGACAATCAAATCATTTTATTAATAATTATTTATGTCAAACTGCAAGACGATACTGAAATAGTCATAGCATTGATGATATGGATCACTTCGATTTGCAACATTCATTAAAATGAAAAATCATACCTGCTTAGTCATAATATACCGAGAAGAGAAGAAAATTGTCTTAGATTAAGTGATTTGAATATTAGAAGTGAATCGTGAATTTTCAATAAAATTTCAGCTGAACTCATCAATTATATACTTTTGTAGCAAATTTCATCACTGACACCCACACACTTCTCAATGAAGATTCAAGTAACTCATGAATGAAGTCCTGTTTGTAAAATATATAGTATTTAATTTATATCGCATGTAACAACTCTTAGAACACAAGAAAATATATGCTTTATTATGATAAAATATATTGAATACAATGCACAAAGAAGAAGAAGAGATATACAAAAAATAATAATAATAGTATTAATAAATGAGATTAAAAGAATAATATGAGTAAATAATTTGTTTCGTTTCACAACAAAAAATGATCACCATTTAATTAGCACAATTAGAAAATCACAACAATGCTCAAATCAAATCTTCCATTGATACAATACAACTTTTATTCTCTGTAACTTGCTCGTGGTGCACTTGCAGCACGTCTTGATGATTGTTGTCGACTATGCATTTGACGGCTACTTGGCTATTTAAAAAAATAAAACTAAAAAAATAAAATATTAATTATTTATATACTTTGGAGTCATTCCAATCAAGTTCATATTTAGATATATTATCTAGATATGATAAATTTCTTGACCAACTTGTTGACCAATCATTTTGATTAAATTCAGGTTTACGATCTACAATTCTTTTAAGCATAGTTGAATTTTCTCTTGATACACGTAATAATTCTCGACGACGTTTTTCTTGATTGAGACTAAACAATAATAACTTAATATTAAAATATATAAACGTCAACTCATTTCGTACCTATGTCCAACATAATTATTACGATTATCAAGACTACTATTTGTACGCATAATTGTAGACATTTTTTCTAATAATATACGATTATCACGTTCAATTGTTGCTGTACGTTCTTCTGCTAACTAGATAATCAAAATAGAAGTAGTAGAAGAAAAATACAATACACAATATACCTGAAGTTTTTTCAATTTCATATGAAGATGCAAGTATGTTCGTGGTGGACGTGTATCAATACTTGGTCGAGCATCACGTACCTGTAATAAATAATGAGAATTTCAATAATACAAATCTGTTTATATGTAATTACCAAAATTCGATGTTCTGAAAAATATTTATCATCCCATTTCTTTTGAAGAAGTCGATTAGCAGCTGGAAGTGTTGGTTGATAAGATTTATGCATTGATATATTAAGGCCTTTGCTATCTAAAACTATACTGATATGAAAAGAATAATACAAATGATCTAATCAGACAAAACAAACATTTAGCATTTTTTTTTGTTTTTTACAATTCAATAGAAGAAGAAAAAAAAAGAGTTTATCCTGAAGGTGATGCAAAATCATTTGCAGGTAGAGCTTCTTCAAATTGTCGATAATGAAAACGACTTGATTGTGCTGTAACCATAATACGTACAGCATAGATGCCAAAGATTGCTTCTAATAAAAGAAACGTTACATATATAATTTCAACAGCAAATACAAGTGCCAATTGCATTTCTTTATCAGCATTTGTAATGACAGAATAAACAAGTAGAAATATACTTAATGGTATTTGAAAAATAATTGTTAATAAACAAAATGCTGTTAATTCAGGCATTCGTTCAGCTAAATTTCCTGCATAGCCAAGATATAATCTAATAAATTCAATAATAGCTTTAAATAGAAAAGCAAATACCATTAAAATAGCAGGATAATTCTTGGCACTAGTTGCTAATATAGGTAAAACAAATGTTAATGAAAATAGCCAACAAGGAAAAAAACAAACATTAAAATATAATAACATTTGTAATGGTAAACTAGATGAATAATCAATTTCAATACGTGTTGGTTTAGATTGAAAATTATTTCCTCGTTTATAATCATTGGCATCAATTGATGTAAAAACTGATGTTGCTAATCGATTGAGACGATCATTAACAGATCGTGGTAATTCAGGTGCTCGTCGTAGCATTTTTTTTGTCAATAATCTATGAAGAAATCAAATAAATGATATGTCCATCATGCACATTGTTGTTTTGACAACAGATCAAGTTATAGGAAGATAATTTTGACGATAGATGTCTCCAGTTTTCATCTACATTTTTGTTTCAAAAGTTATTTAAGTACATATAGGTTGAAAATAGCAAAAGAAAAATAAATTATATTGAATGAAGCCTATATTATGGTAATAAGCATATGACGAAACTTTTCAAGGTTCTTTAATTAAGTGTATTTGTGATTCAAATTCAAAAAGAAATGATATTAATTCAAATATCGTTTTGCTCGTAATATGTATAAACATCAATATTCACTGCTATCAGCAAAATTAGTGTTGAATTTCATTTCACAAAAAATATTTTATTTCAATATCAGTATCATAGTTATAGAGAACAATAATATGAAAACACATTAATTATATTATTTTGTCATAAGTAGAAAAAAAGGAATTGTATCTGACTAATATACTTTTTTTTTCTTTTTACGAGTTTTATTTTTATTTTTATTGGAATGTAATTCGTTTGGTGGTGCATTTTCATTATTTTTATCAGTATAAGTAATATATGTACTATTGGTATTCATCGTAGGTTTAGAAGTTGTTATTGTTCGTCTATGAAAAATAAAACACATTTCATTAAAATTAATTTTTTTCTCTACTAACTTGAGAATGATTTCTTCTAATTGTTTCCAATAATCTTTTTCTTGTTGAACCATATTTTCTATTCGTAAATTATAATCATCAATTTCATTTTGTAAGTTTTTCAATCGCTAGCAAAACAGAAATATGAAATTATTTCATCAAAAAATATTTTTGTTTTCCCTTACGTGTTGCAAACCCTTAGCTAATGAATTTGATTGATTATAATTTTTCAATACTTGTCTATCATTTTCAGCATATTTCAATTGTCGACATGATCGTATTTGAACTTAAACGAAAAAAAAAATATTATGAAATTTGAAATCCATTGATTCTTACTAATTAAAATGCTTTTTTTAATTAAACGTTTTGCTATCTGACAAATTAATTTATTTTTAATAAACAAATCATTATTCCATGTTGTACGAAATTCAATAATATCTTCTATATTCATATCTGAAAACGAAGAACATATCCGTATTTGATTTTTCTATATTGCATAGAAAATATTTTCTTTCTTCAAAAAACAAGAGCACACAAACAAATACAAAAAACAAAACTTGTGGAATTAAGAATAATAGCGATAACAGGCTTATTCAAGAAAAAAAAAGAAAAGGCAAAAACAAACAAACAAGGTACACACAAAAACGAACTGTTTATTTTTTGTAAGACAAGCTAATCACTTTGCAAAAAAAAAGATATAAAGACGCACAGAATAA